CTCCCTGAGTTCAGGGACAGGAGGGGGCGTGGTGGTGCATTGAAGTCAATGGCACTGCAGCCACGCCCCCCACCCACAGTGCGATCGCCCGCACCCGGAACGCAGGCACATTAGTGCCTGCGCTCCGGTCCAGTGCAATCTGCAAAAGTAGTGCTTGCAGCATTTTTGCAGATTGCCCTGGACCGGAACGCAGGCACATTAGTTACTTCAATGCACCGCCACACCCCCTTCCCACCCCCTCCCCCCAGTGAGCCGGCCAGCTTGCGTTCCAGATGCCAAACGTTCTGGAACACAGACTTTGTGGTTTGAACCGGCCCAGAGAGACAGGAGAAAGGGATAGAGGCAGTAGTCCCAGTAACTATTTTAATGTGCTTGTTTTCTAAATAAAGGTGTTATGGTATGGTATTGTATATGGTGGTAGATCTCATTGAGCTTGTAATTTGAAAAGTAGATCTCCAGCCAAAAAATTGTGAGCACCCGATATAGAGCATCTATGGCACACTCATCATTGTGTTGTCTCTGGGCTCACCGAGTTTAAAGCAATCTTACTTTGCCGCAATTGGATGATGGAATATATTTGTCTGTATATTTTCTGCATTACGCAATAAAAAGTATATGTATTATATGTTGTATAGAGGATGTGGACTGTTTCATACCTGCGAAACATGTTGCCCCACTAAATTGCAGATATGTAAATATATTGATATATATAATACTTGTCCGCACGGAAATGTATTTATTTATATGTATGTAATTGGTGAGTGAAAAAAAAAAGAGTGAAAAGCAGGTGTAGAAAACGAATCCAATATACTGGGCCATATAGTTCTTTTATATAGCAGAATTCTTATATATTTTAAACCTCATTTAAAATCTCATACTCAATAAATTCCTTGTTTTGGGATTAGTGACAAAGCGAGAGATGTAAATACTTTTCTTATGGCAGGGCTCCATTGTGTTTCACACTGTTTTAGTGGAGGGCTTCCTTCATTACTTCCAAAATCCTATCCACTGCATTTCTGATGGCCAGCACGGCTGAAAGATCTGCATGGCTCTGCCCACTATTCTGAAATAGGGAATAAACCCCTTCTTTGGGAAGGAAGTGAGGCATGCAGATACCTTCCATTTTAAGAAGGCTGTTAAAACCAATGCCCGCGTGTGCTCAGTGCTAATCACAACGAAAATAACTCCAGTGGCTATCAACAGTCACTTTGCTCAAGGGAAGAACATATTGGAGGAGACAAGACAAATGCTATTACTGAAATGACTGAAAGTGTTGCGATTTAAGTTGATGGAACTATTTTATGTACCGTCAAATATTTAAAAATCAGTCAATGGTTCTATGGGCGGTCAAGCACTTCAACCAACTCACTTTCATTATATTTTGTAGGAAATTTTCAAGTAGCAGAATACCTCTAAGGCCCCATTCACACTGAGCGACATGAAAATCGCACGATTTTATATGTGCGATATTGCGCAACTTTTTCCTATTGGGCTGTATGCAATCAGGAGCAAAATCGCTCGAAATCCGCAGAAAAAAGGGTCATGTAGGAGCGATAAATTACAGCGACGAGCTACAAGCGATATTGAGCGGCGAGATGTGAACAGCTCCATTGAAATGGATTGGAGAAGCTACATAGAGCGATATTGCGTGGAAATATGAGCGATATCGCTGCAAAAATCGCGCGATAAATCGCTCAGTGTGAATGGAGCCTGAATCTGAGGTACCAATGAAGCAAATGTTATTACTCAACCATTCCATACTGCAATAGGTACAAAGGGCTACAACGGTTAATCATCCTCATCGAGTTGCTTGGGGCTTAGTGTGCAATATGTTACTGAGTAGTATGGTAACTTTCTAAAAATCATAATACAAATGGCGAGCATGTATAGAACGCCCACTGAACAAAGCTGTGAAGACGTAAAATCACAGATTTTTCCTACAGGAGCCGATACTAAACTGCACGTACCAAGCTGGCTGATCAATACAGGTTGGGAAACCACAATGCTTTTAAAAAAAAACACATATTGCCAATTCACCATATTTTGAGACAGAAAACGACAGTATTTTGCTCTTAAATATCCACGGAGCCATGACAGAAAGAAAAAAAAAAAGCAACAAAGAACACAACTTGTGTTTTCTCTATATGCTAGAAATACCTTTCAGACCCGCAGACCTTGTTCATTATTATCATTATTCAATTAAGGCTTGGTTGCACTTGCAGTGTTTCTGCCTTGCAGCACTGGGAGTCCCTGGTTGAAATCCCAGTCAGGAAACTATCTGCAAGTAGTTTGCATGTTCTCCCTGTGCTTGCGTGGGTTTCGTCCAGGTACTCCGGTTTCCTCCCACACTCCAGACATGCTGGAAGGTTGATTGGCTCTTGTATGCATGCATGCGAGATAGGGACCATAGATTGTAAGCTCCTTGAGGGGCAGGGACCGATATGAGTGTGAAACTATGTAAAGCACTACATTAACTGGTGACGCTATGTTAAGAATAATTAGAGAGTCCGTACATATAAATGTAGATTTAACCCTTTTGCTGCTAAGCCCTCCAGAAGGCTTTTAACCTAAGCTGGCCACATCATTTGTGCAATTTTTCCCATTGCTTTGATTTTCTATCGCTAGTGTTTGTAAAAGACCCCCCTAAACCATATATTATTTTGAAAGCACAGGCCCGGTAGAATAAAAAGATGGTGCTTCTAATTAAATAGGTCCTGCGATAATTGCGCAAATGTTTGTCTATCATGAAACCGAAAGAAATATACACCATTAAGATAAAAAACTGTATTGAGTTAACAAATATTTGTACATTTTAAATTGCGCCTTTTTGCAAAACTGTAAAACAAAAAATTAGGTAAAACTGCAAATAAGCAACTTGTGTTAAAAATCATTTGTGCGCTGTGTTGGTGTTGATAAAATGATACAGGCATACATTTAAATCACAACACAGCGTTTGACAAAGCTATGCCATGCGCTGCCACACAAAGCCTGTGACACACTGCATGTGAAGCGGCGCACAGCAAAGGGAAGCAGCGGCACGCAGACCTTCGTCTGCAGTGTGTCCTGCAATTTTCGATCCGGCGCGTTGGCTTGCAAGAGCTAGCATAGCCGAGATGAAAAATGTAATCTTCACCCAAATGGCATACGCGTATAAACTCACACGTTAATGCGGAGTCCATTGAGTTGGTACGCGTGAGCTGATTGGCTGGAGATGAAGTCTTTTACCTGGCTGCGCTCAGCTCCGCGCCCCGCAGCTTCGCTCCGCAATGCTTTGCATGCAGTATGTCACAGGGTTTAATGTTATTTTTAAAAAAATCAAGCACTGCAATGTGTTCTAAACGCACCTCATGGCATACACCACAATGTGGGTGTTATTCTGTGTGTGTGACCCCTTACATTTACTTTTTGAAATAGAAAAATCGAGCACCCAGAGTCCTCAATCTTTGTTTCTGCAGCCTCAGCACAGAATGAATGGAAAGCACTCAGTATAGAGGCTTCCCATTCATTCAGAAACTGGTCATAGCAAATATTTACTATCAACCAGTTATGAATGGGGAGAAGCCTCTATAGTGAGCTGCTTCTCTCCATTCAGAAACTCCTGAATGAACAGGAAGTGATGTAAAGCATTTCCTGTGCATTCATAACTGGGAACACACAGTACTGCCCCCCCCAGTTGTTAAACACTGGAGTGATCAGCGATCACTCCAGTGTTTGCTATGCACACAGAGAAATCCGTAAATATCACATTTACCGATCCTCCACTCAGCCATCCTGAGCCGCTCATTTACGCACGGATCACAGTGCCTGCCAGCCAAAGTGAAACTGCACTCCTCAGCCATCCTGATCAGAGGCTCCCTCCTCCGCCACCCCCACCCCCCGGGCATTTCTCCTCAGATCCCCGTTGCGGGGACGCTGATGACAACTATTATTTTACAGGGGACCATCGGGAGAACTGTTCGGCTATAACTTCATGGTCACTAAAGCGACCATGAGCTTATAGCAAAGGGGGAAAGCCACTGACGTAAAGCTTACTGAGCTAGCCAGATGCAAGCGGTTGTGTTCCGCCGTAAGTCTTACATTGGTGGGAGCGAAAGGGTTAAGGAAAGCACAAGGTTCAGCTAGCCTCAGAATTCAGCTTTTACTGCTCTGATCATAGCAGAACTAAATCTAATAACTAGCCATGGGTTACGGAACTTTGCACATCCTTACTGAATATGCCCTTATGTATTTTGAGAATTTTAGGGGAGGAAAAAAATCCTGCTTTTAGTAAGGGATCCAAATGCCTGTACAGTCACTTATTAGTCACCGAGAATGTTGCAGTGTACCTTTACTGCACATTTCATCTACGTTTCAATTTTCATTCACAAGCACACACCTTTTTAAAATAAACCATGCCTTCCTTACTAAATGAAGTGGTGTAAGCTTACAGATCACTATATCCAAAAATTGTACACCATCTCGGCAACCCCCACCACCTCCAAAATGTACGTTTATTTTACAAGCTTTCAGGGTAAGAACACTTAAAATAAATAAGTGCAGAAATGAAAACAAGAACACAATCTAAAGGTTTCTGCATGAACAAAAACACATGTACTGCTGTACTATAAAGAAAATATAATTGGTGGACATTTGCATTGATGGTATCTGTATTTTATAGCTGCTGCAAAGTCTGTGCTCCATTTCCAGAACATTTGTTAGGCTGAAAAATCGCAATTTCTATTGAAGATGATGAATTTACTTGATTGCTACTGCATGCATTTTTATGTTATAATTAGAAGGCGTTAGGTATTCTAGCATTTGTCTGCGGCAGTTAAGCCAACCAGCTGTTTAAACATGATACTGCAGCTGTAGCATGCTACTCAGTCAGCATAAACTAACATTCACAGAATAGCAAGCTCTGGAGAAAAAATGCACTTGGTTTGTGCTTTGTAAAAATGCTGGATGAAGGAACAGGTTTTTGCCATACCAATATAAAGACATTCAATTATTCACCACACGCATGACGCAATTAAGACTTTATTCAGCAAATTGATGTATTTACACTGTGGAAAATTGGGTCAGATTGCATCAACGTAGTTAAAAACAATTCTGCATGGACAATACTGAGAACTAGAGAGACTCTGAGGTGATTTTATTGACTATCCGTATCCTTACCTGTACCAGGACTTCAAGTGCAAGTGGAATAGCATCATGGGGACACTGATGTTACAATACGCTACAATGTTCCACCAATACTGAGGAGTTTTATGGGTGCAAACTTCAGGTAATGTTATAAAAAATTGTCACAAATAGTATTCTATCAGTGGAAAAAAAAATGACGCCACTGGGGTTAGTTAAAAGCTTACCAGATCATGAAGAGCAATTTAAAAAAGGAGCATAATACTCCCAAGCCTCTCGTCACGGTACCAGGAGTCATATGATGCTACTGTATTTGGTGATCCTTCAAGCAGTACATAAAGTAAGCACCTTATAGAACCGTTCTCTTTTCTGGTGAGACACCAAATGCTGAAATTCAGCTGTGTCCACAACATGAAGACCTAAATGCAGAAGCTGTCATGATGGCCCCAGGTTCAGAGACAAAATTATTGTGCGCATAAGCGCTGAAGCTGACCACAGGCATTAGATGGTGGTCAGCAGCCTCCTGATTTTTGTTTTCTCCATCGCGCGAACATGCAAGCTTATTTTTAACAAACATGCACTAACCATGTTGAAGAGATTACCAATGCACTGACAGTGAGAAACCATTTGCTATCAAAGATTTCTAACCCACCCAGTAGACCTCCACAGAAGGTGGTGCCCTAAAGTCTGGCTGCCCAGACCCTCAAAATCCCAGAGTACCCAGCATCTAATGCTTACAGTCCACTTTAGTACAGAATTAACAGTATTAACTGCTTAATGATCTGATAAGAATTTAACTACAAATTCATTGAACAAAAAAAAAAACAATGATACATAAAAAAATATAATGTTACGGAGTTTAGAGCACAGCCCCTTTGAGAAATGATATTTGATATTCCAGACATAAAAAAAAAAAAGAGGAAAAAAAAAAAAAAAAGACACTTTAAAATGAAGCTACCATACAGTCTTGTTTTGGTTTGGAAATAGTTCATGCTGTTTAATCTGGGCTTTTTAATGAGAAAGATAATTTCGGCCTTGACTTTCCCTTGCCCAAAATAATTTTTTGCTCTTCTTTTTGTTGCCGTTGTCTCTCTTGTTCTAATTTCATTCTTTCCTCATGTATTTTTCTTTGTTCTTCAACAATTTTCAATTGCTCCTCAGCCTAGGATTTAAGAAATGGAATATTAATCAAAACTTTCCTAAGCCCAAAATACACACTCTAGAGAAAATGTTTGGACAGTCATCAAGAGTTATTAACATTACAGTTAGGTTTTTATTTATGTGTGTGACTCCACTGTGGGGATTTTCCCCATTATTTCTTGTCCCAGTAATGCCTATTCAAAAATGGGGGGGTTATGAAGGCACAAACAAATAAAGATGGTCATATGATTACTGTTCTTTAACTGATGGTGTTACAGTAACTTCAAAATACTTAGAAAGTAAATCAACTGTGCAATTCAAGCAAAAAAAATATCTATTTGCTTCCAAGGTGTAGCAAAAAAAAAAAATCCTATTTGTATTTGATCAGAAATACATTGCCTTGAGCAGCACACAAAGAGTTTGGCTTGCCAAGCATCACCAAACTAAGTCTCAATAAAGTAAACCATGTAAAGTAAATACGTACAATGTGACTTGCCGCTATACTAAAGAGAAATCACTGACTACATTTTCTGCAGAATCAACATTTCCAGCACCTCTTTACACAGAAAGACTCAAGCAGTTACTGCCCTGAATAAATGTACAAATCAAATGCTCTAACTATAGTCTGGAAACCAGGATCTCTAGCCCCCAAAAAATTGACATAGGCAATAAGAAGCATTTAAAAAAAAAATTATCATTCCATTCTGCATAATCTTACATTCTTAGGCAAATGTATTGATGGTACGCATCTGTGTTTGAGACATTTTATTGCTTCATGTCACACTGCAAGTAACATTTGGCAGGTGTTGAAGCCTGTAGACATTGATGCTCTCATTGCCTGCACAGCATTTGGAAAGTGTTAATCAGGTTCGAGCGTATGACCTGATTTTACAATACATGTGTTTTGTCAAATATAAAAAATTCCACAAACACAAGAATAGTTGACTGGATTAGCTGACGATTTCAAATCTATGGATGTCTCCAGGCACCACCAGCCAACACACAGAAGAGGGTAAGTTCTAGACAGGTTATAAACCTTGTACAATCTCCTTCCTTCAGGATAAACTTTAGGTACATGCATGGGCCCCCACCACGAAAACCTGGCTAAGTTATGTTTGTGGCAGCACGAACACACATGGGTGTCAGACAGTCAGCTCACGCCTGCATGTCTGTCTGCTGTCTCAAGTCTGTGGGAATCTTAAATAAAGCCTACCGAGCATCTATTCAAAACAGAAGAGTGAGCTTTGGACAAAAAGACTGCTAAGAGTCAGGAAATAACAGCTGGCATCTATTTCCTAAAAACATTGGCTACCTGGCCCCTGGGATATGTACAGTGCTGTATTAAACACAGACAATCTCCAAGGTAATAGATATTTGTGAACATGGCAGGATTAAAGCTACCAATATGTACTGCCCCAAAGAGGCAAATGGTTAAAGTTTGAATGTCTATACATCTCAGACACTAAATATGGAAAAAAAACACAAATACACTATGCAGGAAGAATATAGACACAACCCTTACCAGTTTAGCTTGTGCTTCAGCAATTTTACGGTTATTTTCTTCAAGTATTCGCTCAAGCTCCTCACGCTTTTCCTTTTCTTCTTCCTATATGGAGGATACAAGGAAATGTTAGAAAACTGCAAGACTCAGTCATTTATCTTCTTCTAAATTTGCCTCAACTCCTATTAGGACTTAAGGGGCGGCACTATAGCCACCAAATACTTTCAATATAACATCAAACTGCAATCATCACTAGCATACAGTTCTCTAACACTAAGTTCAGCTCAACCCTCCCAATCCAAAACAGCAAATAAACCCTCCCTATTCTGCCCTGCCAGAGCTGTTTTAATTACAGTCAGACATATCAACAAGGACAACTACAAAACCGGGTAGTGAATATGAAATTAAAGGAAAAACAGAAATATATAAAAGAAAAGGGAATAGTTTTTCTCACCAATAATGTATACCTACGTATTCTTTACCTATACTCCTTTAATCAGCATTAAAAGTTGAATATTTACTGTCTTGTCCAGTGTCCTGCAGAGTGTGATCCTCAGCTGCCATACGCGCCAGCTTCCTCTTTAAAATGATTTGTACTGTTAGCTTGGCAACACCTGCCATCAGCAGCTCAACCAATTTTATGAAACATACAAGGAAGGCTGAGCTGAGGAATGCAGATGTTTATCATAAGAGGAAACAAAAATATGTAATTCATCATTCCTAAGGCAAACAATTCACAACAAATAATACATTTTATGGTTAGTCAAATGCAATCCATTCTGAGGATTTGGGGAAAACTTAGTGTCAGATGCAATGCTTTGACAGTTCAAAGGTGCAATCCATCCTGATGATCAAGTCTATTACAAGTTTTAGGAGTAGTTTGATTCCATTTAATATTTACGTACCGACTGCATGGGCCAAGCATGGCTGCAGATAACTACAACAGTTACACTATTAGGGTCCCTTCTATACATATTTTATTTGGAGTGCACCTTTAAAGCTACCGTCAAATAAAATAGGTAGAAACATTCATGTGAGAAAATACTAAATTTTTGTTAAATTGATACAAAATTAAAACTGCACTAAATTGTTGAAAAACACAAAGTACACACTGGGGTTAAAGAAAAACAACGGTACATAAGAAGACGCATAACAGGCTACTGCCTATTGTTTTAAGGCTTGTTTTTCTCAGCCCCAGTAAATTAGGTAAGAGAACAACTAAAGAAGAAGAAAGAAGAGAAGCAGAGAAACCAATAACACATTGTACAGGGAAAGCTTTGGCTGGACACCATCTACAAAGAAATACAGCAAGCGTACTGCTCACGGTCAAACACTACCAGTATGAGGATTTGGACTGTACAGATGAACGGATTACTTGGGCTCAAAGTGTGTGTTAACCAGTCTGAGCTTCAACCATTTGTCTACATGGCAAAGTAAAGTGTTCACTTTAATAGCAATTGCACGAGCTGCAGATGCTTACCATCCTTTAGCTTAACCACGACATGCAAAGATGTTGTGCCATGCAAGCTCTAGGTTGTGACCCGACATTTACATAGGGCTAAAAAAGCTCTCCCTGTCCTCATGTGACAGAGCTGGTTGCCTGGGGAGCCAATCGCCAGGCACCAGCATAGTCACATGGAAGGAAAGCAAGCAAATGACTTGCTTCCATTACCCAGGGCAGGTATTTTTCTTTGTTTCAATAGTTGAACAGAGCAGCACGGAGTGAAAGAAAAAGGTAAGCATGTGAGGTGGTGGGGCTGATATTACAGTGAACATGAGTAAAAGGACAGATTCACCTTAAAGATATAAATAATCATATCCATTCTACATTTAGTGGCATCTGAATCTTAAAATGTAGGAAGACAGGATTGTAATATTTTGTTAATGAAATGTGCATTCTAAGACATGCAGAGATGGAATTGTGAGCTATAAAAAGTCTCCTTGGAACTCAATAAATACTAAGTGCAAAACCTATTTTAGTTACAACTGATATAAAATACAATAGCTTCACATGCTGCTGTGTCATTGTATGCATTTAAAAAACTAAAAACTACTTTTGCATTTTCATCTGCAGTCAACCATGATTTGATATTACAAGTGACATAGATGACTTTCTTCTAACAGTGTTCTGTTTCTATTCAGGATTTCCCTGTACATGCATCAATAAATGGCTCAGTGCAGGTCTCAGATTTGCACAGCACCCGGGGTCGCATGGCAAGTGGCCGCTCAGCAAAGTCCTTAAATTTACTCTACCTGCATTATGGGATAACTGCAGACAAAACTTTGCACCTAGCAATTGCATTACAACAGCCATTCTTTAATAGGGAAGGATTCACAATTAGTTCCCATTCACACAAGGGCGACAGCGTTTCAGCGCTGAAATGCGATTAAAAAACGTGCTCATCAACAAGTCTATTGGCGAAAACAAGCTGATCAGTGCTACAAAAGTAGCCGAGGGAGCATTTCAGGTGACAGGCGTATTGGAAATTGTGATTCTGCGAACAGCCCCCATAGGAATGTATGGGATTTTAAATGTTGGCGTTTTAGTGCAGAAAAATCCACTGGTGTGAATCCACTGGTGAAATCCAGCGGCCTTAACGCTGCAAAACAGCCCAGTAATGTATATAGAATGCCAGAAGGAATTTTTACTTTAAAAAAAGCGATGGGTTATCAGAATAATCACTAATAAGATATACTTGTGTCACATTATATATTTGCCATTAAAAATACACACACAAGTTAAAGAATAGATATCCAGATTTGTTTGGAAATCCCTATAACCCTTTCGCTGCCAAGGCTTCTTTGGCACACGTTATAATCCACATATTTGTGGCCTGAAAATTACACAAAACCCCCAAAACACACACACTATACATACAGTCAGTCCCCGAGTTACAAACAACAGACTTACAGACGACCCCTACTTACAAACGGAGGCTATTACTGTACAGCAGGGGGTCCCAGGCTGCAGCCAGAGTATACCACGCAGCATTTCAGTAGTTGTAATGCTACTGCGCTCATGCTGAAGGAGTGCCCACTTTTTTGGGTCTGGTTCGTAGTACTGTAAATACATTACAGGAAGTTAACTCGTTAGATGTGCAGACAAGGGGTGCACGTCTCTTCTTCTGGGTCACGGTTAGGTTTTTTTTACTGCGGTCTGTATCCTCATTAGAAAGATTTAATTTCACTTCCTGTCCTTGAGACAGCAGGAAGTGGGAGGATATCTACCCCTAGGAAGGGAAATTCACTCCTGCAAGAGTTATCATGGGAAAAAGGTGTCCCCACTGCAGTTTCATCACCAATCCTTGTTTCCATGACAACCCAAAATGTTTAAAATCCAATTGCCACAGGGACAGAAAGTGAGGTGAAATCTTCTGAACAGGGGCACACACAGCAAAAAAATGTTACAGGGGGTTAACCCTTCTCTGTGCTATCCAAAACAAAAAAATGTTCCAACTTGGATACAAATTCAACTTATTTTGTTCGTAAACCTGGGACTGCCTGTATACTGAACGCAAAGACCCTGTCGAATAAAATGGTGGCAGTTGCAATTTTTTTTTATGTTGCATGATGTTAGCACAACTCTTTAAGCAACCCAAAACATTCTGTAAAAAAATACACTTTCGTTCATGCTAGTGCCCAAAAACACAACATAAGACCAAGTTTTTTAAAAAAACATTAAAGATGAGGTTACGACGAGTAAATAGATACCAAACATGCACAGGTTAAAATTGCATGCGTTCCTGACAGAAGGTACAGTACCCCAAATTGTCCATAGGAGACACTTTAAAAGCCTGTACAGGTCATCAGTTTAGAGATATCCATGAATATTGGCCATAGAATTATTGCCCTCACTCTGGCACATGCAGCGATACTCAACATGTGTAACACAATCGTCGTTTTCGTACATGGGGGCGCACCCAACTTGTGTTTACGTTAATACGCGCACGCTCACAGGGGACGGAAACTTTAAAAATATATTTTTTTCAAATTTTTTTATTTTTCTTAACTGCTATCACATAGGGGGGCTCACAAGCCGCTACACCGGCCCCTGGAAGCTGTCTGGCAGCAGCTAAGCAGCCAGGATCGCTTCAAGTGTAGAGCTGACAGAGTAGCCACCAGGATTCTGTTTAAAGGGGCCCACTGCCACTGACGTATAACATGCGTCATTGGCAGCGAAAGGGTTTACAGGATTTCCAGCTATATATAGCTAAGAAAAAAATGGCAACCTTTTAAAATGGACACAAAATCACCTTTACATGAAAGGTTTTATATAAAACAATAGTAGTCAGTAGCCAATTACTGTCTTATATGGATACATTTTCTGCTTATGCTCCACCTGTTGGAAAGCAATATGTTTAAATGAGGGCAACTTGATATCTTCAAAGAGATCTGTGAGAAGGAAAGGATGTTATGACTAGTTGTTCAATATTCGTTAATGAGATGGACAAACAAGTGGGAAGAAAAACAAAGGTTATTTTGAGAAGAAGAAGCACATTCAATGGGTTAGTGCTTAAATGAGGGAAATAAAAAACATCCTCTAATGCAGGAACGAAGCCAAATAAACTTCACTCCTTGTCAGTAGCATTTAGGCCAACTGTTTTAATACATTAAAGAGATTGGCACGTCTGCTGTCAGCAGCTAGTTTTTTTTTTTCCTTCGGATGAATATCTTGAAATAGGATCAAATGTTCAAAACGCTACAGCCATGGCAAAAGTTTCAAGTGCATGTCAACAAATCTTCAATACCCCTAAATGGCATCTTTCAGGAATGAAGTCTTAACAGTACAACAGATTACAGTCCACGTTTGATGCCAATCATACCCAGAACAGAGCAATGATATTCTTTTAAGAACTCAGTAACTGACCCAGAAAGAAGCAGTGACAAATGTGTACTATCTGAAAAATAAGAACAAAATAAAAAAAAAAAAGAAAGTTTTGCCATGGACTGTCACTACTTTCCAAACGACCAAGCGTTACCTCTCTGGCTTTCTGTGCAGCTAGCTCTGCCTGCCTCTGTCGCTCGAGTTCTTCGAGCAACTGCTTTTCCATGATGCGCTTAGCTTCCTCAACCCTGCGCAGAACTTCCCGTTCTATTTCATCTTTCCGCTTCTCCAATTCTTCTTCCACACGCTTGGCAACCAGTTCTTCCACACGACGTGCTGTCTCCTCCTCTATGAGCTTTTCTTCAATTTCTTGCTGTCTACTGAATAAAGGAGAGGAAGAAAAATTAAAATACATACTGCTGCATAGACAGGAAAAAGTCATTAATACCTGCACATCTTTTAAATTTAGAATCTGGAATTTAAAGCTGCACTTCAGACAAATGTACAATTGGAACCCATATCTAACTTGCTGTTTTATGATCTGTAATTATATTCAGCCACTTTTAGAATCCAGGCAACCCTACCAGACACCACAGCTAGGTAGGGACCTTATCATTCCCTACTGAAGTTGAGCAGTACAGCTTGGTCAGCAATATGCCTCCAACCTGTGACTGGAGAATGAAGGTGATGCAACATACTGAGATCATGATGATCACTTCTCCAGCAAACATGTTCAAATTCGTTGACTGACTGCACAGTACAAAGCAATAGTGTTCTGATTGGTTTAGAGTGCTGCCACCCCCCACCCCCCGCTGTCTGAGTCCTGTTGTACAGAGCTCCACAAAAGCCTATCAAGAAAGAATGTGGTATTAATGCCAATACTTAAAAGGAGAACTATGGGGTTAGGGCTTTTCCCCATAGTTCTCCTTAGGGTAACGGGAGGACACAAACTAGCGCCCTCCTGTCACCCTAAGCTCAGTATACCGCGATACTGCCTGGATCCGCCCAGCTGCGTGAGTGACAGCTGGCTCTGCCTAGCTAGAGGCAGAGCCAGCTGTACCCGCCATCTCCCGTCTGTTCCGCCAGTCAGCGCTGAAGGATCGGAGGGGGGAGCCGTGACAGGATCGAGAAGTGAGGGAACGCTGGTATGTGTTCGCTCCCCTCCCGATCTACTGAGCCGACCTGTGACAGTCTCATTGTCACAGGTCGGCTAGAACTATGAGGTGAGTGAAAAGCACTCACCTCATAGTTCTCCTTCAAAACAAAAACGTTTCTTAAAATAAAAAAATCAGTACTTTGCAAGTTTCTCACAATATATGCCCATTCCCAAGATGCCCTTTTTCTTAGCTTACATTAAGGACAGGCGCTGGTGTTCCTGCTGATTTTCCCTACGTATTGTTTTCTTTCTGCTGCGGGGAAGACAACACTTTTCACAAACAAAATACACACATACAACACATGTGCTACAGGATCTATGACATTTTAACTCCTTACCATCTTGTCTTAAATTGTATTGTAATTATAATGTCTTCCTTATATTGTGAAGCGCTGCGCAAACTGTTAATCCTGTACAATAACATAATAATTTAGGCCACTGCTGCCTCTGACAGTCTTATGAGATTTACTGATGTCACTGTACTCCTTTCTAGAGAGGTAGAGGAAGTTGAACCTGAAGACCCGCAATGCATAATCTTCCTCCTTCTGCATCATTAATTCTGTGGATCTGTGAGGGGGGGCGACGACTACTTGGGTTGGAGGAACGAAGCCCCTCTTATCTACCATGATAGCTGCCTCCTCACAGACAACATGGAACAAGGCAACATGGAAAAGTCAAAAATGGGGAAAAGGTCAGCTACAGGAATCCTACCAGTAATACTGGTTAGTGAATATTGCTTTGTCCTTGACTTTCCTTTTCTGGGCAGCCTCCACAATTCAGGTCCTCTTTATGTTGGGCTGGCTCCTCAATTAAATGCGCAATTCATATTAGAAAGCACAAGCTCATTAACTATCACAATACCTCAAGCACAAGCCCATAGAAAAAGAAGGGTTTTTTTGCAGGCCAGGTTTCAGAGGCTCCCACTACAATACTCCAATATAGCTGTAGCTTAGAACTGGTCTGCCCAACCACCACCCAACAATGCAATGTGGTACATCCGTGATCATCAGAAAGGCACGGCATTGCACTGTAGAATGCTGATGAAAAGGAAGAGGTCTGATCTGAGGATATAGTGAAGACTTGAAAGCAAGTATGCTCCAAAGAACTGGTGCTCTCCAGGTGCACAGCATGTATAGGCCCAATGCGATGCCTACTTTACCAGGCTTGTATGAAATATTTAACAGAATAACAGTTTTACTTCCACCAATATACAGACATAAAATTAGTTACACAATACTTCATTTATGCAAGTGCATTCAGTTCTCTCCTCTACAGCAATTGTTGAGGCTCACCAACTTTTACAACTGAATGTTGCCTGACAAGGAATTGTTGTACATGTATTGCATTTCAACACTGCATAGTTTATGCATCACTGCTGGTGCAGAAACCTATATTGTCGCCTATGGGCGTTTTTTGAGATTTTGCGGGTGCACGCAATTTTAAGGCTTGACATGTTTGGTGTCTATTTACCCGACGTGACCCCGACTTTTATGTTTTACTAAAAATATGGGTAAGAATAAATGTTTTATAACATAACGTAGGGAAACTTTTTTTTTTTTTTACATTTATGGTACTTTTTTCATTATATAGTAAAAAAAAATAACCCCCCCCCCCCGTGGTTATTATATTCCTCCAAAAGAAAGCTCTATCTGTCCCCAAAATTTGAACATAAATTGCAAGGCTATAGTCCGGTCATGCTGACTGGTGAGACATCAAATTTTTCAAGCCCTGTTTATAAGTATATGTTAATAAGAAGCAGCTCAGTCTGTCCCTTTATTTTCACTTTCAAACTGCTCAGAGTAGCCCAAAATTTACAAAAAGGCCTTCACCAATTACTTTTAGCCCTGAGCCCTGGTTCACACCTTAGAGTTTTTGAGCAGTTGGAAAAGAGCTTTTAACTACCCAACACAAGAAATCCCATGATTTTCAATGGCACTGGTTCACACCCGAGCAGAAAAACGCCAGCAGGAAAATGTTAGACGACTCAAAAGATACACGATCTTCTTTGGGCAGTTAAAAGCGCTTTTTCTAAAAAAAAATGCCCTAAAACGCAAAACAGAAGCGCTTTTATATGCGTGTTCTTCCATTGCCCACAATGGTTTACGAGCTGGCAATCAAAACACGCACCATCTTGTACGCGCATACAATTGTGCACAACACGCAAATAACCGCATGCTGCTAACACGCAAAAACAGTGCCACCTAGGTGTGAACCAGGGCTAAATGATTTTTTTGGTATGGTGTGTGAAGGGGAACACAAACATATTATGGGGTTTTATCAAATTTGACTGCAAAAGTGGAACTACACTTTTAAGTTGTCACCAGAACTGGAAAAGAGAGGAGTACTTGCAATGGGGACACTTGTCCCCATGACAACTGTCCAACAGGGGATATACCTCCCACTAGAAAAATTTCCTCACCTCCTGTTGAGTCTACAGGACAGATGGTGGAAAAAAAAATGACAAACGTTTTACTCTTCCAAAACAAATGTGGCTTTAGATATAATTTAACAAGGACATTATATTGTTGTTTTAGATCTGTTCAGCGTCTATAGTACCAGCTTTTCTCCATTCTGTTTACATTTACAGTTTCCATATTTGCTACATGTTTCATTTGTTTCTGCTAAGGAGCTGACTTGTCACCAATTATATTAGTGCTGCTTCCCATTCACTCTGCTACTGAAACATAGTTTTCTTCTCTTCCCATACCTCACTGGAGTGCAGAGAGCTCTGAATTACTGTCAGTTCAGTTTCTATGTATGAGAAGGTGGCTTGTGTATTTTCTATTGCCTCCATGTTATTGACATCCCTGCTGTAGATGAGTCCTATTTTCCTAGGAATTCTCCCCTATACTCCCATCCCCCACTGACACCCACACTTCAGGGGCTCCTACTTCACTCTCTGTGCATCCTTCCCCTGTGAATCTACACTAGAGATGAGACGGCTTGGTGCCAACCCAGTTTATTCAAGCCATTTCAAAACTGTGACTGCCACTCCCCCCCCTTTCCTGTCCAATCAATGGCAGCAGCTGTGGCAGAGGCATTCCCCAACCCTTTGTGACATACAACTGTGGGCAGTGAATGTGCCTCTCCACAACTGATTGGAGGGGTAGTGGCAGGTGTCAAGTGAGCTGGGTGTGCACCAAGTCCAGGCTCCTCACTAATCCACATGTAGAAATTATTCCTTACTTGATATTGGCTCCACACTAGTGATGTCCCTGCTGCAACT